GCCGGCTCATGTCCAGCTTTTCTCTGGGAGCCAAAGCTGTCGTACGGCAGGTGGGGAGGAGGAACGTGACTGTGCTTTCTGGCCTTCCTTTTCCACGGCTGCTTTCCTCCCTTCCTCTCTTTGTGCACGAGGAGCTGTTCTGCATTACTCCCACATCGTTTCCCACCCGCGCTCAACGGAGAAGCAGATCTCGGCCCTGCCTTCCCCTCTCCCTCGGCGCTCATAAGCGTCTGCAGGGTGGAGCAGAAGGGAGAGCAGGATGATGGAAATGGTGCCCGATTCTTAACCTCCTTCTTATTTCCGGGATGTGGAAGCTGGGACGAGGGCACTGGAACAGCAGCATTTTTACGAGCAAGGTTTATGGATTCCCGTTCTTTTTCCTGCTCCTGCAGTCTCCTAACGTACCAGCCTCAATGGAGCTGGAAAGCCAAGCACAGTAGATGCCAGAGGGTAAATGGAGTCCTCTTGGTTCCTGCTGCGCCCGTCATTCCCATTGCCTTACGGGGTAGGAAGGTGTGTGAGCAGGTTTTTATGGGTACGTGATTTGGGGGCCTCCCTCCAGCTTGTGCTGGAGATCACATTACCTGAATGGATGCATCCAAGGCTTTCCCTTTCCAGGAAGGGAAACCAGCAGCCAAAAGAAACCCTTTTTCCTGTTCCTGCCACGTGTCTCACCTGGGAGATGTCCTCTGCTCCTTGCCTGCGCAAGCCCCTGTGCAAAACGGGAGCCTCAGTTTTGCCCTCTCCCCCTCCAGTTTAGATGCTGGTCCCTTCCCTCTGCTCGGCTGGTGCCTGGAGCGTGGCGGAATCTGTTAGGCTGCTTGGCCAAGCTTCCTCCGGCTGAAGCTGATCCCTGGGCTGGCAGCTGCCAAGTCTGGGTCTAGATTAGCATGATGTTCTGCCTCTGTCGGTCAGGTCGAAAGGAGATTTGCAGAGCAAAGGAGGAATGGGCTCTGGGCCACGTTTATTTCTTTACAGAACACTGAGAAAGAGTAGCTGGAAGGTTTCATAGTAAAGAAAAAATGGTTTCTGTCTGTTTACTCCGCGGGCTGGATTAGACGGTGAAGTCATTGTAAAAAATGAACTAAGAGGAGTAGGTTCACATGAGATAATGAAAACTGAGCAACTGACAGATCAAAGGGTTTTCTTACCAAACTAATTTAAAAATCAGATACAAAAATGAATTTAAATGGGAGTTAAATGCATCCCTGTTAGTTATTCCGCCCTCGTTTGATTGATGTGTGAGAGCTTGTAATGTGTGTTTGTAGGGACTGAAGTCCGCCAGCAAGACTGGTCCATCTTGATATTCTTGATACCTGTTGAGAGTCTACGTGCTGAAACAGCAAACACAACGGTTGTGACGTTTGCTGGCCTCGAATTTGGTTTAATCATGAGGAGGGAATAAAATACTTACTTAATTTTTTCTTTGGAAAAAATTGTTATGCTCTGAAGTTTACCCTAAATGGGTAAAAGATTAAACTATTTTCAGTATATATTAAATATGCACACGTGTTTTTATACACTCAAGCTATATTTAGAGAATTTTTTTACCTAGCATTTCCCTGGAATCTCCGCTTCAGCGAAACGCCCAGCCATGATCCTGGAACTCCTGGTGTGGAAGACACCAAAAGCAAAACTTGTTGTTAGGCATATACCGCCGTCCCTCGCTAACGCGGGGCCGTGTGGTGCTGTGGTGCTTACTGCCTAGTTCTTCTCTGTTATGGGATCTGGCAGTAGCCACTGCTGCTTTTTAATCCAAAATGTCTGCAGAAAGGCTGATAAATTTTGGGAAATGGGGTTGAATGATGGGAACATCGATAATCAAGGGAGGTTGTTGCGTTTGCATTTCTTTGTTCTGATCAAAAGCCTGGAGGTGACTCGCTGTCTCCCCTGTGACCATGCTCTGTCTCTAACCTATGCTCCATATACTGGCTTAGCAGCGTCGTTCCGTGTCGATGCTTTTCCTTTTAGGTCGGCACCTTGAGATTCTGCGGCACAACGGAATTTGCCAGCGGCCAGTGGGCTGGCGTAGAGCTGGATGAACCGGAAGGAAAGAACAATGGAAGTGTTGGGAAAGTCCAGTACTTCAAGTGCGCACCGAAACGCGGTACAGCCTTCAGTCTTTTATTCTTTTCTTCTGAAATTCAATTTTTAAAAGAATCTTTTGGGAGCATAAAACCAGATAACGAATTCCGTCGTTTTTAGTGCTTTGTTTTATTGAGTCTTTTAACTGCTCCTAGTGTTTTGGCTGCAGCTATTTGCAAAGCCACTGAAACAACCAACCGGTCAAAATTTCTGGTTATTCCCTTGAAGCTGTGAGAGAATAACCTTTCCTGTTTTTCCCATTTTGTTGCAGCTGTTTGGTTGTGTTGTGACAGTAATGGCCTTGATTCTTCACCTGCTTTGCCTTCCTTTTTAAGAGATTCACGCCTGTAGTTGTTTTCCAACCTCCAGCTTGAGGTATTTTAACTGATATTCTCTCCAGGTATCTTTGCACCTCTTTCTAAGATAAGCAAGGCTTCTGATCACAGAAAAAGCTTCGTACGAAGTTCTTCCATGCGGTATTCACCTTTGGTCAAATCCAAGAAAATAGATGTGACACACGTAACTTCCAAAGTGAATTCTGGTGAGTGTTTCCTTGTAATCTGAGACAGGACTGAGATACCGATCGTGGAGAATTAGCACCAATCGTGCAAATCTTGGTATCAAAATATTTGTTTGCAGTTAGTTTGTCGTTTGGGGTGAGGAGGTGGTATTTATTAACGATGTGTTCTCATTATTAGGAGTTCAGCAGCCTTTAAAGTAGTGCTGGAAGGATGTTGTGTGCAGTTGCTTAGTGATTACAGTGATCTGATGTAAAGTAATTTCTGTTCAGCTGTGATATCAGTTACGTGTCTAAATGTGATTTCCCTTACTAAGATCTTCCCGGTGAAACCAGTGAAGATCTGGAAACTAACCTATAGACACCTTTATGTATAGAAACTGAAAAAAAATTTATCTGTTTTCTGGCAAAATGATCAAGGAGGGTCATGTGAAGGAGGAATGATGCATCTTTTCTGCCTGTTTAGGTTCCAGGGTGTTTGGAGTGCAGACACCTCCCGGCTGTTTGCACAGCCTGGCCCTGGCTGCATCAGAATCTCATGAAACATGTTACATTAGCATTTCTTCTGCCTTTCAAACCCTGTTCGGGTGACTCATCCGAAGGCAGCCCAGCTTAGGGGACGGATGATCACGCACCCTTTCCCATCGAGTGTACTCAGGCACCCTAAACCACTCCTCTGTACCAGTAATACCCAGGGTATAGAAACAATGTGCCAGGCTGGCAGGAGAGGGGTGTTTTGGATGGTTTATGTCACTCTCCTCTGTGTAGATTGAGGGGGAAGCCAGCTCTAATCATGTGTATTGACAATTAGCACAAGACCTAAGCTGTTCCTACATGGACATCCTGCTCGTCGGAATAGTGGGCACGTTAGGCGTAGTTCTCAGGAGCAGGGCGAGCCTGAATTCTTCTGTTTAAATGGTTTTCAACATGTGATCCAGTTTGCTGTTGACCACTTGTAACTCACTAAACTGTAACGGAAAGGACTGTTGCCTTGGTCGCAGATGGTTTAGTCACAAACCGCCTCTTCTTGCCATAAAGGTGCGTTTGTTTCTCTGCAGCTGTCAAACACTCAATGCTCGCTTTGGGTCAGAACCAGGGTGAGGTGTGCATGGCCTGCCCGGCAGGGCACACATCCGGTAGCTTGTAGGATGCTGTTGCGTGGAAAGGTCCATCAGAATTCCCGCATCTGGCTGACTCGCTGGAGTGGGAGGGTAAAGCTGCAGGGGCAGGACTTGTAGTGACAGGACAACTGAAAGCAGGGAGGTTTAGATTGGACATCAGGAAGAAATTCTTCCCGGGGAGGGTGGTGAGGCACTGGCACAGGTTGCCCAGAGAAGCTGTGGATGCCCCATCCCTGGAAGTGTTCAAGGCCAGGCTGGATGAGGCTTTGAGCAACCTGGTCTAGTGGAAGGTGTCCCTGCCCATGGCAGGGGGGTTGGAACTGGATGGTCTGTAAGGTGCCTCCCAACCCAAACCATTCTATGATAACCTGACGGTTCTGTGGTGTTCACGTGCATCACCAGGTTCCTTTTCTTTCCCTTGAACTTGATTCCTGCAGGGCATGGGTTTGTGACATGCTTTTTGTCAATACGGCTAAGAGCTGCCAAGTACGATAGTGCTGTACAGAGACTTCAAACCTGGCTCGTCTCTGCCGGATTTGAACAATCCATCGAATTGATGGTAATGTGTCTTTTCGAGTTTTTAGAAAAAGGGTTACTGTGGTCAAATTGAGAAGTGCATGACCAGTCGCAAACACCAGTGTTTTGATCTGGTGCCTTAATGGCTAAGCCATAAAATTTTGGAAAATACATTTGCAAACTAGTTCAGTCCCTGCAGCTGCATTAAGCTGAGAGGTGTAGTTAAATGAGAAAGGTCTGATTTGCCTTTGACAGGGAGGGGATAAACCACAGATGAGCTTGTTCTTCACTGAGTTAGGGTGGGAAACCATCAGAAATGCAACATGACTTTGCAGATGATGACGCAGGAGGCAGTACTGGTTGATAGCCGCATCGCAGCGTTGCTGCTCCGAGGGTCGGGCTCTTAGAAATCCTGCTGGCAGGCTTACGGTGTGATTTCTAACTGAGGGAAGGTTTGGTCTCAAATCTCTCAAAACTCGAGTGTGTAACCTTCAGCGTGGAAATTGTGAAATTCGTACTAGTGGGTAGTATACCTGGAGTGCTGCAGAAGGGAATGTTGTGTATGTAGTAGATGTGTTTGAGAGGTTTACCTAAAACTTCCTCAGTGTACACATTACTGTTTTGCAGATGGTTTGTTTATTGTTTGGCGAGATGGTTTGGACTGTTGTAATGTCTCAAGTGGTTTTAAGAGCTGTGCTGATGTGTCAGAACAATTCTGCAGTCTTGTTTTACCCTTTTATCCAGAGTCTAAGGCACCGCACGCTTTTACCCGTTTATCCATGCATCCGGCTGGTGGTTTGCAGTCTGATCTGCAAATCTGTCAAATTGGTTCAGTACCTGACTTTCCTCTGAAGTTGCTCGTTGTTAGGATTAACTGCATTAATTGCATTAACTGTTAGGATTAACATTTAACTGCACGTATTCTTTTTATAGGCCTAAATACAGCAAAAAAGGACAGTGTTGCTGAAACCAACTTTCTGACTGCTAACAGGGGAAAAACTGCACCTGCAAAAGATGGTAAGGAACCTTGGTTTTTATTTGAGAGGGTGGTGGGGCACTGGCACAGGTTGCCCAGAGAAGCTGTGGATGCCCCATCCCTGGAAGTGTTCAAGGCCAGGCTGGATGAGGCTTTGAGCAACCTGGTCTAGTGGAAGGTGTCCCTGCCCATGGCAGGGGGGTTGGAACTGGATGGTCTTTAAGGTCCCTTCCAACCCAAAACGTTCTGTGATTCTGTGTTTCTATAATTTTTTAACATACTGAGAAAAATTCTGGGTAGTGCAGGGAAATATTATTACAACCTTACCCCTGTAAACCTCCTGTGTCTGCACCTGAGATAAAAGTTGCCTTGCCTGTCTGTAGCTGTGTGCTGGACTTGAAACGTCAAGGGACCTCACTCTCAGAGGTGTCTTCAACAAACTCCAAGAACTGTGTCTCCTCTGAGGTTTTGTCTATAAAATCATACTCCAAGTGTTGGTAAAAGCGGTATTTCTCTGAAATAATTTGACTTTGAATATGCTCTTTTTGAAGAAATGCATATTCTTATACCCTCCCGCAGCGAACACCGTGACGAAGAGGCTAGTGTGAGGTATTTCAGCACCAGCTGGTATGATTCTTTCTCAGAGGTGAGCTGAAAAACCTGTGGAGACAGAGGCTTCCAACGTCTTGTTCGCAGAGGGCGCCTGGCTTGTTCTCCGGGTTCTGGTCACGCAGGGACATTAACTGGCAGCGCAGGGTCTCAGCTTGACAGATGCAGTACAGAATCCACGAGTGTTGGGACTCCAAAGGCTTTGGGATGTGGTGGTTGAGATGATTCTGCCGTAAAGGCAGGTGGAGACCCCTTAGGAAAATCCAGCGCAGAAAGTTGCTGTCAGTGGTTTTTCGGCCCACAGGAAGGCTCCCTCCGCCTGGGGTGTTCCTGCAGTTTGTGCTGGGGCTGGTAATTCGGGGGGGGTTAAAATTATTATTGCTTTCTTTTGGGGCTGGGGTAGAGAGGCTGTTCCTGGAACAAGCAGGTGATGCCTGGCAGGTAGTTGACTGTCTTAATATTAAAATGACCCACCCCTCCCTCCCAAGAAAACCCCAGACAAATCGGAAGAAACTTTGGAGAGGGGAAGGACAACTCCAAATGGTGTAGCAAGGCCGAGACAGCCGACTGCATAAACACACCTGGGAACGACGTGCCTGGTAATGGCTTTGCACTAAAGGACGGGGGACGTGGGGCACCGTAAGGTAAACGCGAGTCGCCCGTGTCCTGCTGTTACAAAAGGGGAACCACGCCGCAGCGTGTACAAGGAGGGACAGCCATGAGACAGACGGAGCAACCCGGCAGCTTTCCCGGGCTGAAACACGGCACCTCAGGAGGGATGCCAGTCAGCTGGAGAGAGTTCGGAGCGGGCACTGCGACAGCCGGGGGCATAACACGTGACTGAAGGGAAACGGCTGATGGAATTCCTGATTGTGTGATTGAACAGACTGAAGATCAAAGGGATAAACCAGGAAGCTTTCAGATACAAAGGATAGCGTGACCTGTGATGCACGCGTGACGAGAGCGGGAGTTCTTGGGCTAAAACCGGTAATTTAAGTTTTACATTAAGGGGGAAAAATCCCCCATAACAGTACAGACAATTATGTGGTGAGATGCGTGGCTGAGGGAATCCCGAGCCCTCCCGGGTGGGAGAACAGGGCAGCATGCACAGGGTGGGAGCAATGTGGCAAAGAGCTGTTTTGCCTGGCGGAGGAGGAATGGGTTGAAGGACCTGCTGAAGTCCCGTCTCCTTCTCCCGCCCCGTAGTTTCCCACAAAAGGAAGAATTTAACGGCTGGTTCAGTTTCTCTCGGTTTCTGTGTTGCTGGGGCAGAAGCTGTTGTTGCGCTCCTGTAGCGGTGCAGGGTGCTCTCGGCTCCGGTGCCGTGCTAACTGCGGGCCTGTAGCAGGGGCTCACAAGCGCACGCGTGCATTTACAGCCTGGGCTTGGAGCTGAATTTTGCCCATTTCAGTCACCGTGAATTGAGTACTTTGCATTTTCTTTGCTGTAGCGTAACGGTAGCCAGTGTCGCAGAGTCCCCCGGTGCCTGAGCTTTTGCTTTGACCCACTGCATTTGCCTTCCTTTAATTTGTTAGGATTTAAATGGTACTGAACACACCAACCCTGTGTCATTGTCAAGGTGCTTTGCGAAAACGCACGAAGTAAGGCTCTCGGAATCCTGGCAGGTTTGATAAGCAGTATTCTATTAGTTGGTCACTTCAGGAAACCAAGGCATAGGCCTGTCTTGCTGTACCTCGTTTTGGGCAGAGGGGGGTAGGAAAGGGGAGAACTGGGGAGAGCCATGAAAAGGAAGGAGGAAAGCTGAACATAAGTCTTACGGGACAGTTCAGACATGAGGGTTTGCAAATGGAGATAAAAGTGATTGATTTCCCATTCTTATTTTATAGTACAGATTTTAATATTAATAGAGTATGTAATGGAGTGTAGTAGGCTTTGATCCAGACAATAATTCACTCACGTCCTATCACCTTCCTTCTACTTCTCATCAAACCTTTAATAGGCTGGATGCTGGAAGTGTGGTGGTGTGATCTCTTATTCACGGAATCACAGACTGGTTTGGGTTGGAAGGGCCCTTACAGCCCATCTAGTTCCAACCCCCCTGCCATGGGCAGGGACACCTTCCACTAGACCAGGTTGCTCAAAGCCTCATCCAGCCTGGCCTTGAACACTTCCAGGGATGGGGCATCCACAGCTGTTCTGGGCAACCTGTTCCAGTGCCTCACCACCCTCTCCGGGAAGAACTTCTTCCTGATATCTAATCTGAACCTCCCCACTTTCAATTTAAACCCGTTACGCCTTGTCCGGTCATTACAAGCCCTTGTGAAAAGTCCCCTCCAAGCTTCCTTATTCCTTATTCCAGAGGCTCCCATATGTTAATAAGTATGCTGGGGACTGTTCAGAAAAGCTTTGAGAGTACCAGAGAAGGGGCTGTAGGAGACGTCTCCCAGCATTCACCTGTCACCTTGCTCCCAAGGCAGGGTCAGGCACACCTATGTCCCTCCCGCCAGGTGTCAGGAAATGCTGCTTAACAGCCTCTCGTTTTGGCCCTTTACTCTGTTCTGCCCACTGTGGAGAACAGGTAACTGCTGCCTGCCGGAAGCTTTCCCTTTGGATTAATCTGTCCTTTCCCAGAGATGATCCCTGAAGGACTGGTTGTGTCTTTCAGGCTTTCCCGTGTACAGCAGCTCCTCCTCTTCTACTACCTCCTTGGAAGGCAGACAGAATTACTGCAGGAAGCGGAACTCGGCTAGCAGCAGTAAGAAAGCGGTGACCAGAGCGGCTTCTGCCTCATCGAAAACGCGTGCTGGTATGGCCCGTTGGGTCGAGGCGTGTTCGCGCGGGGGGAGGATTCCTGCCGTCCTGCCTAGGACCGCTCGCGCTGGTTCAGGGAGGGAGACCGTTCTGGCCAGACCTTCGGGAAGTAGCTTACCCATCAGCTTAAGTCTGGCAACTCTTTGGAAGCTCTGTAGGGCACCTTCAGGAGGAAAGCCGTGCTTGTAGTGGGTCGCTGGGCCTTTCAGCTGCAGGCTGCATTACAGCTTTCCTGCTGGAGCAAAGCGGTTCTGAATGTACGGCGCGTTGCCACATGTTGAAGAGAAATACTCGATTTTCAGAGCAGTTTTCTCCCTGTTTAAGACTTTCTTAAATTTTAAAGGCCTAACGTCACTGATTTCTGATCTTCTTCTTCCGTTGGACAGGGTTCTGTAGCTCTCCGGCTACCAGGAAAAACCCTTTTGGCGAAGGAGAGATCCGGGTTGGCGACAGAGTACTGGTGGTGGGACAGAGGACAGGCACTGTCAGATTCTGTGGGACGACAAAATTCGCACCAGGTATTGGCAACCCCCTTTGTGTCTGTTGTAGAATGGGTATGGAACAGGAGCACGTGGACACTGGGAGAACTCCATCTGTCTCCTCACTCCCACGAAAAAGGAAATGTACTGATTTGTTTCAGAGTTCTCTGTCTCTCTCCTGTGTTTCACTGAATATTTTCTACCATAGTGCACCTGCCAGGTTTGAAATGTGACTTTTAACTTGTCCACTAACACGGCGTAACTAGGAGAAATATTTGATGCTGAAGTTGTTAGAGAGCTTCCCGAGCTTCCCGAGTTTAGCCTTCCGAGTGGTACGTACTTCAGCGAGATCACAACCCCTCGTTCCTCCCCGTGACACCCCCATCCCTTGCCGTAGCCATGTCATATGCCTGTCCCGCTCGTACCCTCTGAGCGGCTCCGAGAGGGTCGTCGTGGGGGCGGCAGTCCGTGCCAACAAGCCTGTCGGTCGCTGAATGGCAAGTCACAGGCATCTCTGAGCGCCCCACGCTCTACCACGTTGCCCCTTGCTAACGGCCACAGGGCAGCGAAGCCAGGTTTTGTTAATCGTAAGGGAGTTGTTAAAACGATGGAAACTGATTTCTGAGTATTCTTTTTTTTTGCACTCCAACTCTGTGTTCCTTATGGCCCCACCTCTAACCCTCTTACCGCAAGCGTAATGCCGAAAGGGCTGGCGGGTGGCGGTTCAAGTACGCAGTTGAACCGGGCCCGCCTGGTACATGAGCGGCAGTGTGTTGTCTTGACACTTGGTGGCGTCAATAATTGAAAAACAAGAATGGCAGAACGCGAGGCGGTGGTACGAGCTACGGATTTCCCCGTTCTCGCCCCTTCCCTCGTACCGCCCTTGTAAGGTACCGATGCTGCGCTTCCTCCGATCCCACTTACCTTCCTGCTGTCACCCCGCGTCCCAGACTTCCTGCAGCAGGTGTGAAACCCGAAAGCTGTAGGTCTCCTCCCTCTCCCCCCAGGTCAGGGAAGGAGGTTTTTTTGGAGAAAACCGTGCCGTTGTAAGAAGTGAGGATGGAAAGATCACAGATCTTCACTGTTTGCAAACCAGTCGTTTATAGAAAATGTAACAACAGATGCATTTTTAAGAATTTCAATTTTGATGTTTATCAGAGCTCTAGAAGTTACCCAAACTTTATTTCTCTTGCTGCTAAAGACAGGGAGGGAGGGGACTCCGAGGGACTGAGCCCTTCTAACTCTCAAGCTGTCATTCCTGCCTTTCTTGAGCTGATAATTAGAATTACCATTTTATCCAGCGCCTTAGTACCAAGTGACTTGAATTAAATTTGGAATCTTCTGGGGATGGCTAGCATAAGGACTGCTAATGGGGTATGAAATTTAGCACCTTTACATAATTAGCTCACATTTATCACCGGTTACGAATGATCAGGCTTATTAACGGCTTGGTGCCCGCTCAGTGCTCTGTACGAGATGAATCGCTGGCCAGGCCTGGTCCTCACGCCCTGCTCTCGGTATCACCCAGCAGCCTGGCCGTTTGTGCTAACGACACCTTGCTGGACGGAGAGAAGCCATGGATTAATGCCAGCACTTTAATTTTACTGTTGACGATCTCGGATGAGGCACAGACCGTGCGGGCAGAGGACCGAGGCGGGAAGCCTGAGCTGCCACTGCTCTTCTTCCCTGTCTCCTTGTCCGACAGCCACTGCTGCGTTCGGGAACCTTCTGCGCGGCTGGGGTGTCTGCACCGAGGGCTTCACCTTTGCTGCAGTAATTAAAGAGTCAGTAATTGTCTTGAAAACATATGAAAACGCTGAAATAATTCTCTAATTAGGATAGTATTTTGTGCATTGTTCATAGATAATAACCACAGATAGATAATGAAGTAACTGCCCAGAAACCTTCTCCTTGCGGCGGGTGAATGCCAGCTGTGCCAGCTGTGCCAGCTGCCCAGAGGGAGACGAGCCCATGGCGGTTCCTTCCCAATATGGTGATTTTGCCGGTTTGACCCGCAGGATGCTGGTGCGGGATTGAGTTGGACAAGCCTCACGGGAAGAATGACGGTTCCGTGGGAGGCGTTCAGTACTTCCGGTGTCTGCCCAGATACGGTATATTTGCACCCCCCTCTCGCGTACAGAGGTGAGCACCGACGCTGTTGTCACGTTTGTGTTGCCAAGCGCTTCCTTAATAGGTTTCCTATGGGAAACAAAGTTTTGCAGCTGAAAGGGAGGAAAGAAATGTTTTCTTCTGCTAATGGAAGCTTATAAGCTCCACTAAAAACCTGGTGGGTTTTAGATCAGCCCTTTGAAAGCAGAGTGTAAACTGGGAATGCAGCTCCCCCCCGTTTCTTGTGCAGCCACTTAAGTATGTTCATTCCAGGGCCTCTGTTTCCACGTTCACTACACCTCAGTGTCATGACCCAGTCCTGGTGCGCTGAGCTGAAATAGGTTGGACATGGAAGTTGCCCTTGGACATGACTGGCAACACTCTTCTGGTTCCAGCTGACTGCACAGAGGAACGCAAGCACCCACCGCTTGGCTTGTAGTCTCTTTGCTAGGTTTCAGGAAGAACATCCCAGGAACACTGTGCCTTCTCCTCCCGTACTTGTACCCCGTTGCTCTGCCAGACACGTTCTTGCCTGCCTTTCCCTGGGTGTCCGGGCTCAGCCAACGCGTTAAAGAACTTTCCTCACAGTCACAGATGCTCTCCTGCCAAGGGGCAGGCGAGGAACCTGCAGAGAGGCGCTTGCTCCAGGCAGCTCTTACCTACCCGCCTGATCGCATCTGAAACGTTAGCGTCTCGGGGGGGTGGATGGAGAAGGGCAGGAATCAGAACTTCACCTTTGACAAGAAGGATTGCAGCATTTTAGAGTTGGGTTGAAATGACTTTGTTTTTATTGCCTTTCAGACTAACAGGTTCTCTGGATTCTCTCGCAGAGGCTTCATTGAGCAGAGTAAATCACACTTTTCCAGGTAGGAGCCTGAGTCGCCGTCGTTTGGCTTGGGCAGCCCGCTGCAGGCTGCCATCCTCAGCCAGCCCCGTCTGCAGAGCCCACTTCCCAGAGCACAGTGGAATTTCGGGACCCCAAGGGGCCAGCAGTAGCCTGGCTGGAGCCCTCCTGCAGGCGGAGCCTGTGGCAGGACCCGTGGGGTGCTGTGTGGTTGGCAGCCCCGTCCTGGCAGAAATAACGATGGCGGGGTTGAGTGGGATGACACTCTTCCCTCATCTGGGGAAGTGGGGAGGTTTAGATTGGATATCAGGAAGAAGTTCTTCCGGGAGAGGGTGGTGAGGCACTGGAACAGGTTGCCCAGAGAAAGTGTGGATGCCCCATCCCTGGAAGTGTTCAAGGCCAGGCTGGATGAGGCTTTGAGCAACCTGGTCTGGTGGAAGGTGTCCCTGCCCATGGCAGGGGGGTTGGAACTGGATGGTCTGTAAGGGCCCTTCCAACCCAAACCCTGCTGTGAGTCTGTGATCTCGGTGTTGCATTTTAGTCGGAGTTAACCACAAATGGAACCCGCTCCCTAACGTAAACTGACAGCGATGAAGGGGTGGGTGTAGGGCGGTGTCTGTGTGGAATTAATAAAACTTCTGAGAGATGCTTGAATTAGTTCATTTTCCTTTCCCTTACCCAAGGCTTTTGTGAAAAGGCTGCTTCAGATTACCCTTGTTTGGTTTGTTTTCCTCTGTCGTCTCTGAAAATCTGAGTGCTGGGGACGCTTGCTGTCGCGAGAAGCTTCATCGCTGAATTTCCCAGTAGGAGGGGAGAATGTGTAGCAAATGTGGTGGGAGCGGTATAGAAAAAGGCACAAGGAATGTGAGTTCCTACAGGTTTTCTTTTGGTTTTTTTCACAGCTTATTAACCTTTCCCCTTAGGTTTTAGGCGCAGCCTAAGCACCACTTCTGCATCTTCACAGAAGGAGATAAACAGGAGGAACTCCTTTGTGAGGTGAGTGTCTTCAGGTGGGCTGGCTGTTAGCGTTACTGGTTCTTCTTCAGAAGACGACCTTCTGGGCCTCTGCACGCTCGTTTCTGTCTTCCAAAACGGACCAGGAGGGCACACTGGTGTTGTCATGGGTATCCAGGAGTACGGTCCTTGGATTCAGGCTGGCATTAGAATTGTTTTCCAGTCGTTCGTCACTGCGTGCGCTCCCAGTTCTCGCACGTTCGCACGGCTGGGTGAAGCGCAGAGGGTCTTGCGGAAGGATTTCACTTGGGAAACTACTCCATCTTTTGCTGGCGACACCAGAGCCACGCAGGTTTAAAAGGGAGTTGAGGTTTTCCCACACCCTTCTCGGAATTACAGATTTGCCCTGGGTGTTGGGTAGAAACTAGACTTTTCCCCCCTCTTTTCCCTGACTAGATCCAAGAGCTCCGTGTTACGGCGCAGCTGGAGTAACACCGCCACAGCCAACGCGGAGGGACCGGTGAAGCTGCACGAGGGCTCTCAGGTTCTCCTGACCAGCTCCAACGAGATGGGCACCATCAGGTACCTGGGCCCCACAGACTTTGCGCCGGGGATGTGGCTGGGCCTCGAACTCCGAAGCGCCAAGGGCAAGAACGATGGCGCCGTGGGGGAAAAGCGCTATTTCACCTGTAAGCCCAACCACGGGGTCCTAGTTCGACCCAGCAGGGTGACCTATCGGGGGATTAATGGGGCAAAACTCGTGGATGACGTCTGCTGAGCCAGAACGCGCTCGTGCGGTCGGAGAGAAGGATTGAAAGCACACAGGAGCCCATCTGGAACGCAGACGTGCTCTTAAATTATTGAACCTGCACTTGCATTTTACATATATATGTAAGTATATAAGTGTGTATATAATATATT